CAAAATTTCACGCCGCCATATACACCTCAGCTTAATGGAGTTGCTGAGCGCATGAATAAGACATTGATGGAATGTGCTCGTTGTATGCTTGAGCATGCAAAACTGCCAAAATGCCAAAAACGTATTGAGATGAGGCTGTCATGACTACCAATTTTCTGCGAAATCGATACCCGACGCGCAGTATCCCCTTTGATAAGTCACCATACCAAGTCTGGACTGGAAGGAAGCCGGTGTTGGCAAACCTAAAAGTATTTGATTGTCATGCTTTTGTGACGGTTCCAAAAGAAAAGCGAAGCAAACTCGATGCACGCGCTAAACTTTGTCGATTTGTTGGCTATTCCGAGCATGAAAAGGCTTGTCGGTTTGAAGATGTCAAAACTGGTCGCATTTGTATCAGTCGCGACACCAAATTTCTCGAAAATGTCTTTGATAGTGGCAGTCAAGATTACTTTCAAGATCAAGTTGCTGATGATGTTGAGTCAACTACAGATGAAGAAGTGCTGTCAGATGCTGTTGGCCAAGACGAGGCTACGATGATACATACATGAAGACAGTGAGGATACCAACAGCAAGCGACATGAGCGTACGCAGTCTTTAGAAGGTGCTACCGACTTTCCAAGCGCTAAGAGATTTGTTCAGCTCGAAAATTTTCCAGGTCTAATCAGGTCCGGAAACAAACGACTCCAGCGAACACAATCACATGAATCGGCATCATAAGCGCCGAAAGTGAAGCGAACGACCCAGTACAGCAGGAATGAAGGGCTTGATGAATTGTCCGCAACAGCACAAGATTTTAAAGCTGCTTTTGTCGTGGATTCAGTGGGAGAAATGCCGGCTACATTTAAGTCGGCTATGGAATCCAGCGACGCAAGCAAATGGATTATGGCTTGTGATATGGAAATGGAATCACTTCGCAAGAATAAGACATGGGAGCTTGTGCCACTTCCACATGGGCGCAAAGCAATTGGTAACAAATGGTTTTTTCGCATCCAAAGTAACCAAGACGGTGAGATCGAGCGATACAACGCACGTTTGGTAGCTTAAGGATTCACGCAGAAGTACGGCATTGACTATGAAGAGACGTTTGCGCCTGTGGCCAAGTTTACGTCGATTTGAATCTTGTTGAGCCTATGTGCAAAATACAACTTGACGATTCATCAGATGGATGTCATGACTGCCTTTCTCAACGGAGAGCTTGAAGAAGATATCTTCATGGCGCAACCAGTAGGATACGTTAGTGCAAGTCACCCCGATCATGTTTGCAAGTTGAAGCGATCGCTGTATGGATTAAAGCAATCTCCACGCATGTAGAACAAGACCATTGACGACTTCATGCTACTTCTGGAGTTTAACAAGTGTAAATCAGACCATTGCGTTTACGTGAAGCATTCAGACCAAGATATGATTATTGTGGCACTTTAA